ACCCTTAATGTAACGTTTGTTTTGGTTCAGTATCTTAAAAAATCTTTTTCTACGTTGTACAACTGGACAACTGGTGGTTTCTGCAGTTCTATATATGAAATGTAAAATTTGAAATGAACTACTTGAACAAAATTACAACGATAAAGAAATTTGAAATTCTTGTTTTAATAAGCAGTAGGAGAGAGACCTCATACACAGATACATGTATACATGTATATCAAACTTTTTTTTAAAAACTTTTTTCAAACGATTTGTACAAAACATCTATGCTATTCACTTATATCGTTATCTAAATTTCCAGATTTATTTGGAAAAGAAGTGCAAATATTAAAAGCTAAATTATCGAAGTACATAAAATTTTTTTTATTGGATTTACAGCTAGTGTTTTGTGGTAGTTGAATAGAATGTAATATAACCAAGCTTACATAACACTTGTGACCGTTCCCATTCATGGTAATAAGAACCCGAGCAAACGATTCCCAGATGGAAGAATAATTGCTCATAACGAAAAAAGTAATTGTCTGTCAATAATTTTGCTTAAAAAATCGATCGTTCTTTGACATTCTGTTACCAATCCCATCCAATGAAATCTTGTTTAAAATAGACTGAGAATTCTTAAATGGGTTCCACACCTTATGTAACTGTAGCAAGGACAACGAATTGCCTGTAAACAACACACAGTCTATAGAAAGCCTTCCAATTTAGGACACCCAATTACGGAATAACAATACGGAAATTTACTGAGCTGGCATTTTTTGAAGTTGTTTCTATAAATAAGGGAATTTTCCCCCTATCTTCTCTCTCTTTTTTTTTTATTGCTTCTCATTTGTTTTCATTTTACAAAGATTGTCACCCCCTCGATCCTTACTCCCAAAATTATTCAAAATGTCAACATACAAATACTTTTTGCAGATCAAGATCCCCCATATCTTTTGTTCTTCATAAGTCTATACAAGAATGACATTTGAGAGAATCAAGAATGTTTTGTAATTTTTGGGATTGGATTTAAAAAAAAAAAAGAAGAAAATCTTGATTTTTTTTTGTTCAGTCATGGCGTATTAGAAATTCCTTCCTTCCCTGCGATTGATGTTGACATACCTAGGGATTTATTTTTTTCAAAACATGGACATCTGTAGTTGCCGCGTTAAGCATTAAATTTCTTTATTAAGAGGCCTACTATCCTTCACTAAATTTAGAATTTGGCATAATTCAAAATTTTATGTGATACTACATATACCATGTTTTAATTTTGAAAGTAGGAAAGGGCACTTTACAAAGAACTTGCTCATGACGTATGAATAATGTTTACATGAAATTATTTGCTTACTTATTCATTAAAACTTTATACATATTTGACGCTTTAAACACATTTTGCTTTACTACAATGAACTTAGTAGGAAGATTTTGTATGAAAATTTCAGATTTGTGAAGGGTTAGACGTCGTTGATGGATCTGGTGCTTCAATGCGCTTGTATATTCAACAACTAGTAACTGATGCAGAGTGTCAAAAGAAATGGACCAATCCCTTCAAGAAAATCAATTCAATTGTCACTATGGTGGGGTATAATTCTTTGTGATATCACAGAGTCTATGTCTTAAAAGGCATTGACGGAAAAATGTTAAAATTAAATAATCATACAAAGGCAAACTACGGTATCTTACATATAATTCAAAAGTCATATAGTGGCAAACAGGCGAAAAGCAGAGTTTGAGTGAAGCAGATCTGCTATTAATTTTCTTCATCCTCATTACCACCAAGCTACAAAATGTGAAAAAAGTTTCTACTTTCATTTTCACTAACATTAAAGAAACCTTTGGTCTTTCCAGCATCAGGTACAAATAATTTACTCAGATTTTCTATACGCAGAATTCATTTCATGTTTATCGCACATTGAGCACTTTTAGGTGCAGCAGACAGTTTTTATGAAGTCTTTGATGTGTTTCTTTCAATGCATTCAAATATACATTATCTAAAGACTCTAAAAGGAAATTGCAGACATGCTAATTGCTAAACGGTTGATGACTGAGAATGAACTTTTAACAAACTCACGACTGATGTGGGACATACAGTGAAAACAAAAAAAAATGTACATTATGTCTTTAAATAGCTTAATGTAACACGCGCAGATTTACTTTTCTTTGATCTGTTTTAAATGACATTGACCAGTACTGCTAGTACTGAACCAACATTTATTCAGTACCCCTATTGACGTCTGTGTTATACTTTAAAAGGCATACCAGAAGAAAAAGTTTGCTATTTTCTATCTTTGAAAAATTGTGATCATAGAAGTATATGTATTGATTTAATTTTTTTTCCATCATGAAGCCCTCAATAAAAGTATTTTCTTGCCATAAAGACACTTATCACATTTTTATTATTAATGTGCAGTAATGTTACGTCAAATTCTTCAGTTTGCATTCTTACACAAGATAGTAGAGTTATGAGAACAATCTGAGATGAACCAATCTAATTAAAATTAGATGTTAGATGTTAGATCCGCTCGCATACTCGCTACACTAACATCTAACAACATCCCGTAGAGGGTCACGAGTGTAGCGAGTATGCGAGCGGATCTAACATCTAATTTTAATTAGATTGGAGATGAACAAGCATGTAACGCATGAACATGACGAAAGCTTTTTCAATTTTTTTTTTTAATCTTCACAAATTATTTTATCATTCCCATGGTGTGCCCTTTCCTTATAGAGATGGAAAAATAACGGTATGAAGACTGATGGCAGACAGAAACATGCACGCAACTTTTGACTCCACAGAGATTAAAGACACGCTGGTAAGAAAACTAATTATATAAATGCGAACGAGGAAGTCCAAAACTTAACCAGTCTAATGGCGTAGCTACCGTGTATGTTTGATTGCCAAGCAGCAACATTTTTTTTTCTAAAAATAACTAAATAAATATACAATACTAGTAGTTAAATGCAAAATTCTTTGTCGAAAACGTATTTCAACAAATTTGTTTCATGATTCAAAGATAATTTATATACTATCTTCACACTGCACAAATGTCGTAACATTACGGACTCATAACCACCTCAACCCGAACCCAATAGGTCAACTCATAATCAAACCTCGAAAGTCAACTCGTACATGTAAACAAGACTCAGGATACGAGTTGATTTTGGTTCTGAGGGAAAAAATTCAAGTCGTAGCTTAGGCAAAATTTAATCGGGAATTACACCAAATAGATTTAATGGAATGCTACATGCATCTCATGTAATAAAATTAATGTTAATATCTACAATACATGTAATATTGTTTGAATACAGCAATTACAAATGTACTATTATTATGTTTTATAGAAAGAAATGCAATGATATGAAAATCCATGCCTTTCAGGATGTAAAAAATTGCATAAAAATTGTAATTCCACATTTTAATCACTTATGCCTAAATAATTCCAAATTAAAAAGATACGTGTATTTGAAAGTGACTTATTCATAATGAAAAAAAAATTATTTACACACAGAAATAAAATATATAATAAATATATAAAAGATTAAACACTAGTAAGTACATGCAAAATTCATGATGAAGATATTTTAACAAATTTGGTTCGGCACAACTGTAAATATACAATTTACTTTGTTTTATATACTGGCGGTTCTTGCGGGCCTTTAATAGCATTATACACATTATCTTATATATTTTTTTTCATTTGTTTTCTTAATCAGATTAAACTGTAAAATGTAAAATGCTGAAATTTCGCTGGGTTGTTTCCTTTGATAGTTTCAGCTGCAAGTTAGATGGAAAGGCGTGAAAGAAAAAAACATGCCTAAACGACGACAGACCACTGAACGTCAACGTTATATAGAATCCCCAGTGTAAGTAGGTGATGCATTAGATGAAGCAAGAACTGAACGAGCTTGCTTTTATACCAGTATCCTAGCACATTATACTCAAACAATATAAACAGTAAACTCATCCTGTTCTATTCAATATTCAACAATTCCTGTCTGAAAGAAATGTAAATATCTGCCATATGGCTACCATCAATTTTCGCACACACATTTTAAATAATTATTTTATACTTTTAAAACATACATATAACTAAAATTTATGGTGCTGAAGAATTTTAAATGTTTTGTCTAAAAATTTATATATTGTCATCTACCCAATATACTCAAAATATGTTAGAACATATAATTGTACAAACACATTGATGCATCATTAAACACATGTACATATGTGTAGATCACACACAAAAGAAATACTCTTTATCATGTTCATTAGACAAGGAAGGGTACAAATCTTATGTTACAAGACTTAACATAACTGCAAAATTGGAGGGGGGGGGGGGGGTTGGCACAGCTACTGTGACATTATATATATATATATATATATATATATATATATATATATATATATATATATATATATATATATATATATATATATATATACTTTACTAGTAATCATAGATTCAGATGGAAACAAATGGGTATTTTAGAGGTTCAAACCCTCTGTTTTATTGCAAAATCATTTTATAACAGTTTATACTTTTTTTTTGGACATCCTTGTTGAATTTTGTATTTAAACTGCCACGAAGTATTATTCAGAAATTGATACTTAAAGCTGCCTACTACAAGATAAAGCTTCGTCGGCTGGACCGGAAATAAAATGTTCTAAATAGGGCTGGGCCATTCTGGAGCATCGATTTCAGGATAATGGAAAGTCGCTGTCCGGCAATCTCTGCTAGAGATTGTTCTAAAAGCAGTCTGTGGTTTTATGGACTATCAATCAAAAAATCTTGTCGCTGTCCGCTCCAAAGAAAATCAAAATTCCGGAGCGGTTTCCTGCAAACTCAGTCTGGTCTCCATGCTGAGGACGGATTAGAAAGCAATTCCGATTATTCGTTTTCATGCACTAGTAATCCGACGTCATCGCACAGAGACTTATTTAAAGTAAACGATTAGTCTATATTGGGAGCAACGAAAGGCTCGTGGTATGTGATATGCAACAACCGCCAGTTGCTAATATCTGGTGTATAAAAAGATTTCATATAAATGTCGACTGCTTTCAGACTCGCGAATCTTCTGATAGCTAACAATTCGCCTGCATTCTTCATTCCTTATTCTGGCGGGTATTAATTTGTACACGCGACCGTCTGTTTTGCTTTATTTTACAACTGATGAAAACTGACTGAAAGAGCGTGTTCTGGAGTCAGCTACAACTTCCGTGGTGTGATTTCTCGTAAATGGATTGACGCTTTCATCAAGTCATTTTGGAAATAGTTTACATGAAAGAAAGGTGAGTTGCATTTTACGAGTTCCAGATATAATTTCTGAAACGGTAAACATTCTTTTTTTGATATTTTTTCACACTTTACAAAGGGAAAATTTGTATTTTTTGAAAAAAAGATTACTTCGTAAAGAGAAAATATCCGATTTTACTATTGAAAATTATGAACATTTCTTATTTTCTTTAAGAACACTGATTGTTGAATTTGAACACAAAGATTAGAAAGTATTTTTCTCCAGTCTTTTCCTGATCGACTTTTTAATCGACGTAAATTCCGGGGATTCGTTTACAATATGATACTCATTATAAATATAAACTAAGCTCTTCAAAGGAGAATCCAGGAAATGTCGGCGTACACCTGAACACACTCTTTGACGTAGAAACAGACATTTGGTTAATTGTACAGTTGTAAATATTTGTGATTCTCACCGACGAAGTGAGTAACTCCCTAGCAAGATTCAGTTTTGATGCAATGGGGAAGGGGGAGTATGGCTTCCCGTAATCTCTCATCACATTCCAAACTGTTTCCAAACTGCCACTTATTGTGACATTTTAGGGAGTTAATTGCACCTCTGCATGAGACGGATAAAACTCACGTAAGATAACTTTCTTTGCACTTTTGAAAATACTGTACTGAAATTTTGCAGATATACAATTTTTTCTTTTTAAAATTCTACCCCCATTTTGGTATTACAACGAACAAATACGGCTTAAATATACTCCAAAAGTTTGTCTCCCCGGTAGAAACTATTTTTTTTTTAAATAATAGTGATCAAAAGAAACTTCTGCAGATAAGGTTGTGGCAGAATAGTTGACATTATTGCAATGTTAAGAAAGGAAAGTACAGTTGATTAAAATTGAAGTGAAAAAAAATCTATTTTTGGAATATCCTGTAATTTCCAGCAAATTGTGGAATTAATCTTTAGACCAACTCACAGTGTGAGCGCGAATAGTTGAGATATCTGCAGTTGCTCCAAGGATCTCGTATCGTAACCTGATTAAAGGAAATGAATAAAACATCAGCTCATCCCTAGAGGATGCCAAAAAATGTTTACAAACCTTTAAGAAAGAAATATTCAGATTTTTGGAAGGAAGAAGGCTATTTCAGATATTTTATGTATAGGTTGAGAAGTTAAAGATACCACTATCTAATCGACAGTCAACTGTTTGAAGAAATCTTACATAAACAGATGCCCTGTTCTAGATTTCTAAAATTAGATATGCCCGTTTTTCTTGTCTTATTTTCAATATACAAAATAGCATTGACCTCCAAAAATTAAGTTCAAAAGTTCTTCAGATTAAAGGATTGCTTGTTTATCACCCCTTCCGGATCCTCCTTGCAGTTTACATTGCTCTGGTATTTTCTTATGCTGCACTTATATTTATGCTTTCATGTTTTGGGATATTAGAGTAAAATAGTGGATGTAAATTAAACATGCTCATTAGTTTACTCAATGAACGAGCGTTTTCCAAGCAAAAATATAAACACTTCTTTAATCAAGATATTTGTTACCTGGCATTTTATATTCTTCAATCCTTTATAATGATTAAGAAAAAAATTGTTTTAAATTATTGCTTCTTTCTATTATGACATGTAAATTAAGAGGTGTTGGTGGATAAGCTATATCGGCTATAACTTAAATTCATATACTCACCTCTTTATTTTGTATGATCGGAAAATGAAAAAAAGTGAAGAGAAGCTGACTTGCAAAGCAAGAGGTGCTAAAAATTATTTTTAGCCCTGAAAGTTTACAAACATATATGAAATTTAATCCCTAAAAACTATTCAATAGCCCATTGCATTAGCCTTACACGAGATGAAAGTTTAAAGGGAACCTTGAACCAAATTTTTTTTATTCTTTCAATTGTGTCCTTAAGTCGACGTATTTTTGTCAACAATAGCTTGCTATTTTCATAATTAAATGGACATTCAAAATTAGGCTCAAAATATTTGGTCATCGAGTAATATTTGCATTATACCCATACTATCTCTCATTGGTAGACATTGCTCGAGGGTGTCATTTCACTATCTACTACCAGAAATCTTATACAATCTATAGGATTTTGACAATTACTTAGATTTCTATAAATAAGTTGCAGTGCATTGATTTTATCCAGTATACAACCCGTGGGTTTTATCATAAAGCCATTACTTTATATTTAAAGTACATTATCTGATTATTAGATTAGTTTGGAATGTTTTGTCGATGGCGTGTTTCTTTAATGCTTAAATGCTTATCATTATCATTTTGTTTCTATTTTAGAAAAAGAGATCCGTCTAACGGAAAAATGGAAAACAATTTGATTTCTCCTGAAGAAGATCAGCAGAATTTAATGAATGTTCGAAAATCTCCAAGATGCAGTACTTCCGAGAACCTTCTAAATTTATCCCTAAAAGAGCATTACGATATTATTAAGGAACTTGGAAAAGGAACGTATGGTAAAGTGGTTCTGGCAAAATGCAAAGAGACGGGGACAAACGTTGCATTAAAAGTACTATCGAAGAGCAGCGTGAAGCTCCGAGACTTCCAGCGAGAATTCAACTTTAGTTATTTTCTGTCACCTCACATGAACATAGTAGATACATATAATGTTGCGTTTGAAACCAAAACAGCATACGTATTTGCCCAGGAATATGCTAATTACGGTGACCTTTTTGACATGATTCTGCCACAGACTGGGTTAGCAGAAAGCGACGTGAAAAAGATTGTTAAACAATTGGCATCCGCCTTAGACTTCATGCACAGTGAGCATCTTGTACACAGGGACGTAAAGCCAGAAAATATTCTTGTTTTCGAACAAGGGTTCAACAGAGTTAAATTAATGGACTTCGGTATGACCAGAAAAGACGGAACTTTGATTCGTAAAGTAAATGGAAGCATACCTTATACGCCACCGGAAATCTGTGAAGCTGTTCGAAACGAAAACATCACAGTGTCGTGCGGGGGAGATGTTTGGGCGTTTGGTGTTTTACTATTTTGTATGATGACTGGAAACTTCCCATGGGAGAATGCAGAGTCATCAGATGTATATTACACAGAGTTTGTGACCTGGCAAAGACGGAAAACGACGAAAATCCCTTCTCAGTGGAAGAAGTTTACACCTCGCATGATGCGAATATTCCGAAAAATGTTAGAACCAAAAGTGGAAAGGCGTTGCGACATTAAGGAAATTGGTAAATATTTAAATGACACATGGACAAGACCTTCAAAAGAAAGCGATAACGAGGAAGAATCTTGTTCGACGGACAGTGACCATATGGACCAACTCACAAGTATTCTTCAGAATCATGGGATAGACACCCACATAGACAAACGTTTGAGGGAACGAAGAATTTCCGAATGGTTGTTGGCTTTATAACTCACATTTTTAATTCTGGATGGCTATAATCATTCAATGTCATACATTTGTTGTTGATAAAGATTGCAACTTTCATTTGATACCTTTGTGCTTTCAGAAACACGTAATGGTGCTATAAAATACTTGTTACTAGCTGCCTAATGTGCAATAATCATTCTTGACATGTGATCTCTGGTTGCAGAATTATCAATAAAATATTAACATCTGTGTTTTATGTTTTCCAAAATATGAAATTTAAAGACTTTCAAATGTTCGTGATCATTTTGAATGATTCATCGATCTTATTAATAACACCAAACCCATCCTACATTTTTAAAGAACTTGTGTGGGTGAGTTAAATATAAAATGATTTCGAAAGAAGGACACATTGTTTCACGGGCATATTAGTGTTTTAGTTTTAATTAATATTTCAGACTCTGACATATTTTTCATTGTTTAATCAAAGAACTTGAAATAGAAATCAAAACCAGCGTATAAGACGATATTGCAAAAAGTAAAGCATGTATAGTTTAAGTTGTTTATTGCATGTTAAGGAATCATGTAAAAAAATAAATCGGTACTATTTTAAAAGCAAAAGTACTTTTCAAACAGTAAAAGGTAAAATTGTCAATTTGTAAAAAGAAAGAAAATGTTTTGCAACAGGGTATCTACATAGGTGACCCATTTCCTCGGAGATAGCTCGGATGGTCACCGTTTGTCGATGTTCATTTTTCGTCCATTTAAAACAAAAATAACGTGTACACAAATCTGAAAAACAAAAACAATACGGAATTGCTGTGTCTATAGAGTAGACTAGAGTCATAACCCATGCAGCCTCTCAACAAACATTTACTTGAACAGCATCAAGTTCATTTGGCATCGTGTCACTGACAAAGGGAAAGATCTTTTATTTCTGTGGGTGTCTTACTGTTATGCCCCAGTAAACATACAACCCCTACAGTGTAGGTAGATATAGCCATATCTGATTGGCAGTGAGTTTTGATTTATGTTTAACCTTAATAATATTGATTCCAATAGTAAGACAATGACATCGAAATGTAGAAAGCCTTGTCTATACACACAGACACTAGATAGGTGCAAAGCTACCTTTATGCTGTAAAAAAGAAATACACTGTACACTAAACACAAACATTTTTGTTAGGATAATTTTGTCAGTTTTACCTTCTAACCCTCTGCATGTGGATTAATTCCTTGGAAATAGTTTTCTCGGTATGTGATGTTAATTTTCTGCTTGTTGCGGTGGTTTTAATTTTTGCAAATTTCCTCTTACGCATAAATTAATAAAGATAGCAACATATTATATAAGTTATCAAAGAAAGCGGCTTTACTTAAGAAATTGTCATCTAACTTTTAGGGGAAAAAGAAATGAAAGGGTTAATTTGTCCATTGCAAGGTATTGTTTCATATCCACCATACTAATGTTAAAACTGTGCCTTTAAAACTAATTATCATTACACCCTGGAACAAATGATTCCAGATATTAGATAGACACATGTCGTTATTTAATTGTAAGACAAAGGGTTGCAGAGCTGTAAGATACCAGACATTATATATAATTTTTATATCATGCTGAGCGCAAGACATTAGGCGTTGCTGTTATTCTGTTTCAGTGATCGGGGAGGTCCGTGTTCGATTCCAGTTCCCGGCCCTGCGTCAAACCTAAGACATATAACATAGGTAGTGACTGTTCCTGTAGTGAAGAGTCCGGCACTAGAAGTGACAGTCACGGATCTTTCGGATATGACCTTAAAACTAGGTCCGATGTCACCGGTAGGCGTTGGCACGATAAAGAACCCTCACTGTTCAATGGCCGTAAGTGCCGAGTATCGGCCTTCACCGCTATTTTGTGACGTCTCATATGAGTGAAAATTCTCTAAAGGGACGTTAAACAACAAACAAACAATAAATCAATATTCTTTTTTATGTTTACTTGTCATAAAACCAAAGTTAATTGAGCAGGTGTCTTGATGAGTACGTAAACTCCGTGAAGCATGGTAATTCTAGAAATTCAAGTTTGGGCTGTCATCAATTAACAAGAAGTTATCTGAAGGAGAATGCTCGAAAACAAAATTCCAGAAAACTAAAGAAAGTACAGACTTTAGCACCTGATTGAAGTATAAAAGGTTTGAAATTATTCCAAACAGCTGTGTTTTAAATATTATGTCAAGGTTGTGCAAAGTACACAAACATTGCTCCAACAACTCGTCAATTAGTAAAGTCAAACAAATGAATAGGTATACATGCAGTTGGCACCATTTATTTTTTGCCAAAATCGTTACAAGCGCCAAGATGTTGCGTAATGGTCGACATCGATATTTTAACCATTTTGCTTGTGATGTTTTTGTCAGATTTGCATTTGAGATCTCTTCCTGGAAGAGGTTTGACGTCAAACGTAAATGTAAATACTCTTAAACATGTTTGCGGGATCCTCTTATAACTGAAATCATTCGTTAATACAGCTTGAGAATGATTGATGCGTTCTCATAATTAGTACAGACCGATGACCTTTCCAGTAGAAAATTGGAATGTATTTGCTCATATAAATCGCCATGAGATGAGAAAAAAGTAGGACAATTTATGCTATTTTTGCCATCATTATCCTATCAACAGGGAAAAATTTGTTATAGATTGGTCTTCAAGGCTCAAAACTTTTCTTCATTACACTATAATCTGCTGATAAACATGTTTATAAATCACATCTTTGCCTGTTTTCTCCTAAAATAGCTCATTCGTTTGATTGTTAATTACTGTAAATTTGTTGAGGGGGACAGTAATTGAATGGAAATCAATAAAACACTATGCCAAGATGCTTGATGGAATGTTTGAACAGCATTGTCTAAGCTTTGATTTCACATTTCCCTTGCTTCCTTCAATACTCTTGCTGGAAATCGATGGCTAGGATCGTTTGAACTCTTGTTTGGACCCGTCTTCCTTTTTTTCTGACACGAAAGGACAATGTCTTGTTTTGTCAGACTTTATGAGTCATATAAGGAAACATATGTTACAGAAAATCTTGTGATTGTCTACATTGTATAGTTATTTTCTTTTATATTACATGGCATATTGTACACTCCAAATTTAGCGTGATTGCTTTTTGATAGATATAGATAGACGAGAACAAGATATTAACAACTACATTCATACCACCTTTTACATTGTATATGAAGGCTATGTACATGTATTTGAGATGAAATATGGAGATAACGAACAGGAATCAAACTGAAAAGTCCATTGAAACAATGAATACAAATTATAAAGAGTAAACACGGACCTCTAAAAACATCAGAAGTGGGATCAAGTGCCATGGAGGAGTAAGCATCTCCTGTCGACTGGTCACACACGCCTTGTGCCCATTGCCATGAATAGGCAAACGGAAAAAAAAATCCGTAGACTATTCAGCATGGGCTTTGAATCATCTTTGAGCTCATTTGATATTGAATAATTGATAACAGATACATGTAACAAACTCCTAAGAAATAAATTTTAGTACTATATTTTTTTTAAATTTAATTCATAAATATCGTTCTATCATCATTCGAAAGTCCGTGTTAACTGGTGCTTAATCGTATTGGTATTTTGAAAACCAGAAATAATTCTGAAATGATTTAATTATTATTATCTATTAACACACTACTACTTTTCTGGATGAAGATGCATCTACTGGAAAAGAATATACAAGTATTGGAGATGTAGTGTAATTTTTTAAGCTGGTGTCTAAAAAATATAAATGTAAACATTTTGGAATTTTAAAAAATAACATTACTTTTGTAACCTCAAGAGAACAATACACAAAATTTTGGTTCACTGCATACAACGTGCTTAAGTTACAACGACATTTGTTCCACAAGCTCTGTGAAACTTTTCAATAGAAATTCTGTTCAATTTTAACAAAATTCAATTCTTTGCAAAGTTAAAAGAAGTAAAATATTCCCCTGTTTGCTCTGTCCCTGATTTGTATTGTTGGAATGGACTTTTGAACTCGAATACTGTTCGTTATCTCCATATTCATTCCAAGAGTATCGCTGAGTTGCTTTACTGAACTGTATTTTTGTTAAAAATAAGTGTTATAAATTGAAGATCATTAAACAAGATGTCTACAGAAAATGAACTAGTTTACCTCTGTAATGAGAACAAGAGCCCTCAGTCAATTTTGATTTTATCAAACATGATTTCAAATTGTTTTTTGCTTCGTAACCTCCATTATAAAAGTATCAAAATCCTTGGGAGATTATGATGCACTGCAAGATGAAATCCTCCTTAGCTAAATATTTAGTTTTTTTTTCCGACTTCTCTGGAAATCACAGGTAAATTATTGGCAATGTCCTTGGTTTTTGCTAAACAATGGATTTCCGTAAAGAATATTCAAAAAAAGAAGGAAAAAAAACCTGTGAACTGTTCACTGTACTTTTGCATAAGAAAAGTCGAATAACGATGAAAATACCCTTTAAACTGCATTAATTTCAGTACTGTCAGAGTAGTTTTGGTGGTGGTGGTGGTTTATTTTGGTCAAATAAAAAGATGGCCATCTGATATTTCAATTTTACTTGAAGAATGAATATATTTACGATAATAATCATTTTACTGCATCTTAATCAAAAGTTTTTTTTTAATTATGAGTATGGTATGACTTTTCAAGATGTGAATCTTGAAAATGCTCAACACAATAGGGGAAAAATATGTTCACAATAATTTCTTTTTTAAATATAATTCTTAACCATGATCTATATCTGGAGCAAATGCTGTTAAACGGAAACCATCAATATTTTACTCACCCACACCAACCCACCCCACCCCCGCCACACCCACCCACCATTGGGCTCTACAGAAGCAAGGATCCAAGTGAACTTTACTGATCAAAGCTTGTCTGTCGTTAATTTATATTTATCGTCTGTTCTTCTTCGTACAATTGTGCTGATTTCAACTAGACATGGCATATTCAGAAAATTAAAGCTTGTTCAAGAGAAAGACAAAGAAATTATATTATAAAATGGTAACAGTCCTACCAAAATCATTTTGTTTTCCCCAGAAACAGGACCAGAAATGACAACACAAATGAAATCTTTTGTATTTCACATTCGTTTAGATCAGAAGCCCCATAAAGTTACATGTAAGAATATGACACGTGTTTATTATTACATTTCATTGACTAAGAACACTTTTAAAAATTCTTCAAGGTAATATTCAATCATATATTATCGTTTTGATAAT